TCAATAGCCCCTGTCAGAATATCATATTTGAATAGCAATAGATCGTGATACACTTTATCTTGATGAACTTCAGATGCTGTAAGCAACGTTTGGAGCCCATCTACTGTGGGTTTTCCTACAGTATTTGATGGGTTTTTTTCATTTTTCAGCAAGCTGTCTATGACACAGAATGCAGTGTCCTATATCTGATGGGATTGGGAGAATCCTTTTGGCAGGTGGTGCCAAATCCATCCATATATTGTTTCCATAATGAGAACCATACTCCAGCTTACATCGATCACTAAGCTTTCACTGTGTTCAATATTTAACTTATCTCAGGCAGTAATCCTACACATGAAATAGCAGAAGGGGATATCACTCTCAACAAACATTGCCAAATTTGGTAATAATGAAGCGCACATAAAATCTTGGGTGAAACTTGATGAATGGACACTGCTCTTGAAAATGGCTGTTTGACCTAGTCACAGTTGATAATGATCAGATACCTTCAGATTAATTATTGCCTTCTAAATGTACTGCAATGTATATATGAGTGTAGACAGGGCTTTTCTCTGTCATTCTGACAAATATTTATGATAAATGAAAACTGAAGGGCTTCTAGGGCTTCAAAAGAGTAAATGATTAGTACTGATAGGAATGAGAGTTGTGACCCTTCAAACAATATTGTAGTGAATGGTAAAATGAACCCCCCGTCCGAAACATATTTTGCTCATGCTACCATGGAAACAGAGCATTATATACATTGCATACCTATTTCATATAACCACAACTATATTTGTCTTGAAGATACATATATGTACAGGAAAATATAGATTGTGTCTTGTTTTACCTTCGGTTGGGGTTGCTCCTATTTTAGCGGCCTTTTGAAGAATGTCCACTGGACTATTACATCCGCGACCGTATGCAAAAAAAGTTGGACAGTTTAGCGGGTATAACTTACATGAAATTAAACCAACTATTGCTTATACTTGCTGGGGTTGTCAGTCTAGCAGGGAAAGTTATTATGCAATGATGTCGTATTGGTCATTCTAGATGTACTCATAAGTACCTGTTGCAAGGTGAGGATCCTCCAATCTGTATCCCTTGTGATGAATAATCACTGTCAAGCATGTACTGTTTGACCGTATTGATTTGTTCAATACACGGGATCAATATATCAGTGTGAAGACAATGAAGGATCTTTTAAACCAGGTCAGTTATCATTCAATAATTGTTTGTTTAAAATAAATAAATTGTTTGAAACGTTTTCATGAATATGTTTTGTAAATAGATAAATAGCACAATCGCACAAGACCCAATGGTCCTTAGTATGGCGATCTACCTTCAGTTGTTGACGATCTGTAGCTTGTTTCATATGTTGTATTTTCTGTAGTTTTAGATGTGTATTCTGGTTTTAATCTGTACCGGTGATTTTGGTTGTTTTTAATGTAGTTTGTCAGCATGTTTTTATGTTCACGGTTTATCTGTCATGCATGTATAACTTGTTTTAGTCACTATATGGTTGAAATGCTGACGATGTGACTTGAAATCTTAACGCAATCACTTATGATAGTTGGCACCTGTAGGTCAGAATACTCTCACCTATTTACGAACACTTAATAGTATAGTCATTACGCAGTCTGAATCGTTCAACCGACTCTGCTTTTGGCAGAGCTTTCATTTGCACATGGAAGGGATTTGCAACTGTTTTTATAAACTAATTTAGTCATGGTACTGCCTGAAATACATCATTTCAAGACCAGCACCTATCGCCTTGAATCTCAGTTGGAGCGTCACAAAGGTGTCATCAAACAGTATAGTGTTTTGGTGAAGAATGTGAAACAGACTCAGATCCAGGAATTTGAAAACATCTGCTCTTGACACTCGTTTGTTCGATCCTTACATCGCACAGTTAAGACACTTAATCCTTCAAAGGACATAAGGCCGTATTTGTCCCTTTGCCATTGGTTATATGCAAAACAATGGCAATATATCCGTGCACAGAAAATATCTCACAGAAAAGCCAACATTTTGCAATATACATGAAACAGTTACATCTGGTGGCGATAGAGATATCTTGATTATGGAAGTGGTACAGCCAGTCATAGTAGTCCTGTCAGATGCCCATTTTACAGATAAATAAAAATCGAAATCGATGCTGTTGTTTCTGAAGGGCGCAATAGCAACTACATACCTGCCAATTGATGGCTTGGTGACAATATTAATAACTTAACACGAAGTAAGTTGCACCATTTATTTGGATGGCTGGAGAAGGATCTACATGTCTGTCAGAATAGCTGCTTCTGGGTGAGTCTAGCCTCCTGCAATAGATAAGCGTTTATGTATTGTATACAAAACCTCGAAAACAAACGCAGTAAAGTTAATAGTTTACTGTCATCATCGGTGTTGTCTTTGTCAAGGTGTCTGCGTTCAGTCACAATTAGATAAAACTCGATGGAAGACGTGAAGAAAGTTTAAAGGTTATCATCAATGTATGTCATACTGGTGTTGTAAACTGTGTTTGCATACACTTTCATCGCCTTTTCGTGACATAAACGTTGACCTTGGCCGTTTCGTGACTACACAAAGTAGTCCACGAGATAACACGGTCTCTCATCATTCGTCTTTGTGCAAAACGTTAACCGTGACACTGGAATTCCAGCAAACTCTATAAACCGTCGAAAAGCTTAATACGGCTGAAGCTCAGAAATAGTGTGTGGTGTGTGTGTGTGTGTGTGTGTGTGTGTGTGTTTTGTGTTTGTGTGTGTGTGTGTTTGTGTGTGTGTGTGTGTGATATGCCATGAGCATCGTTCCACGTAGTTGAGATTCGTCATGTGATATCAACCGAGGTAGCAAGACTGACTACGCGAACGGCACATGTTACTTATAGGCACAGATTCCTCGCGACTCACACTTTTACTCGAAGAAAAATGCATGTGAATGTCCATATCAATGTCAATATCCTCATCTACACGAGCATCCACTGTACGCTCAGCACCATAGATAGGTAGACAGACAGGCAGACAGACAGACAGACAGACAGACAGACAGACAGACAGACAGACAGACAGACAGACAGACAGACAGACAGACAGACGAACAGATTGATCTTCTTTTGGAAGGGGGTAGCATATGACCATGGCAACATATGTCTTACATATTTCAGGTGGATATAATATTTTATGTACTGATGATAGTAATAACCCTTTGTCTCTCTTACCTGACACCTGTCCCCGTCAACGTCAGCCATGCCATCTGTTCCACCTCGACCTTGACCGTCTGGGCCATTTCGATCTCCTTGACCGTCTTTTCCGAACCCATCGCCTTGACCGTCTCTTCCGTTTCCATCCTCGAGGCCGTTTGTTCCCGTTCGGCCGTCCCGATCGTGACCACCTGTTCCAAGTGGAAGCTGCAGGAGAAAATATTTAGTTGTGAACACTGCAATCAGCAATATCCCAGCTGTATGTAGATGGCATGTAGCAATCCAGTTTGGACCAGACAAATTCGTGATTGACATGATAAGCACCGAACCAAGTGATTGAAGAGTGATACACTTGCATGCAATCACTAGGTAAGTAATCCTTACCGCCAGATTCATTTAATCACTGCTTACGAAAAGCACGGGATACTCGGACCTATAATTGCATACAAAAAAACCCAAGGATTTTATTCTAAATGTATTGGTACTGATATGAATTTTGCATGATAGAAACAATGTTCCTGTTAACATACTTACGACATTCATCAGGAAAATCGATCGTTTTGAAACATTGTTACGAGTAAAATCGTAAGCTGTATCAATTAAAGGCTGTTGCCAGTATGTCGAGTGCTATCAAGAAGTGATGCATACTTTAAATTCGTGGTTAGGCAAATATGGAATCAACAGCTGTTTCACTTTCATTTACATGTACCTGACTACACCATTTGCTTTTCTTTTCTCAGAAAAGCTATGTCCAGTTGGTTTCTGACTGAAAAAAAAAACAGCACAGGGTACTGTTTTATCGACATATTTATACTACAGATTTACCGAGTCTTTTTCTGCAAAGCTTAACATTTTTTGGCAAACAAGCTGAAGGACGTTGCTGAGAAATGTTAATGAACAACTGCCAGGCTTCAGTTAAGTAATCACATATGCTTCCGATACTGGCAGATTCCAGTCAAGAGGTTGACTCTGAACTCTTGAGACGGCTCCATAGTCATATAAAACGACCTGTTGAGGCTACTGTTCTCATCTCATTTAATGTAAAGTTGGTCGGGCAACAGGTAGATTGGGTCCGAGGTGAGGTGAGGTGAAATTGGGTTTAACGTCGTGCTTGAGAATATTTCGCTCATATGACGACGTGCATGCGTGTGTATGTGTATCTGCGGCTGCTTGTACTAGCCCAGACTTAAGCTGGTTTTATAGTGCTGGATCACTGAGATACCATGCCGCAGTGATGCATGAATACCCCACTCAGACACATTATACTGACTCCGAGCCGACCAGTCCTTGTTGTACCCAATAATGCTGAGCGCCAGACCAACAAGTACCATATTTTAACGTCTTTTGGTATGACGCGGCCGGGGATCGAACCGCGACCTTCCGCTCTCCGGGCGGACGCTCTAACCACTACACCACGGGGGCGGTCCCCATGTCCGAGACTGCGTTATTGTCCCAGGCCCACAGGTGGTAGAGCAAGTTCCATTATCAGCCCATTCGGTCCACCCACTGATAACTGAGGCGAAGGGACCAAGGGCACAATCAAACAGACATGGATGCAGAGTATGAAACTGAACAGTTGCAGATAGGTCATGCACTCAGAATAGGAAAATGTGATTAATTCATAACACAGATATATATTTCATTTACTGTGTCTGCGCAAAACAAACCATGCCGTACTCCGTCGCTCGTCTATAGGAGAAACCATAGACGTTGTTCACTCCTTGACGTGTATCAGGTGAACACACGTACACAGTGTGACATAGTTGCATTACACATCGAAATATTTACTCACTAAACGGTTCTTTCTACTAACCTGGACAGGAACAAAGCTCACACTCCACTGTTCTCGTCTCATTTGATGTAAAGTCGGTTGGGCAACAGGTAGATTGGGTACAGTTCCGTGTCCGAGACTGCATCAGTGATCCAGATCCACAGGTTGTAGAGCAAGTTCCATTATCAGCCCATTCGGTCCACTCACTGATAACTGAGGCGAAGGGACCAAGGGCACAATCAAACAGACATGGATGCAGAGTATGAAACTGAACAGCTGCAGATAGGTCATGCACTCAGAATAGGAAAATGTGATTGGTTGATAACACTGGTTATATCTCATTATTATATCAAATCGTTACCTTTTTCAAAATGTACGAATTATACAAATTGCATGCCGAGTGTCTTACGACTATATACCATTCTTCAGTATATCTATTAATTAGGTACGTAAGTCACAAAATTAAAGTCGACATGTTGAGGCACTATTTTTTTTGCATCAAACGCCTTTACCCGTTTTACTAAGTATACGCGATTTCCCTACTTACCTGGACATGGAGAATTACTACAAATGACGGTTCTCGTCTCCACTGGTGTAAACTCAGCTGGGCAGGCACCAGTACAGTTCCGTGTCCGAGACTGCATCAGTAACCCAGATCCACAGGTTGTAGAGCAGGTTCCATCATCAGCCCATTCGGACCACTGTGGGATAGCTACCAAATATACCATATTGTAGTGTGTAGTGTACTTCTATTTTCTTATGCTCGCAGGCATGGGAACCTTTATATAACTAGACACTCTTGAACTTGAAAGAAACTGTAAATATCTAAAAATATTTTCCATTTCAAATAATGAAATCTGTAGCTGGATAAGATGTGGGTTTTTTCTGTTCCTGACAAGAAATTTATCAAAAGTGAGTGGACAAAGTACCAAACTAATATCTGAAGATATTTGCCCTGGTTGGATTTCGGTTTAGAATTAGCCACAGCAACCTATATGCCAGAGAAGGCTAAGTGGAACACTCTGATCCAGATCAGTGACTGCTGGCTACCTTTCTTCACATCAATCACAGGCTTGTGTGGCCAAATCGTTTGCATAAAAACCGGAAAAAATACAAATGCCCAAAAATCTGCAAATAGCAAAAGGCACAACTTTGGGATCTGTATCCCATATCTGCTAAGTTTTGTTGAAAGGTTTTCGAGTTGGGCTCAGGAAACGAAGTCCAACCGTCCCTTTTGAGACTTAGTACAAATCGTTTCTATGGAAATGTTCGAGGGGAAAAAATGCCAAAAAGTCTGCAAATAGCAAAAGGCACACTTTGTGATCTGCCTCAAATATCTACCAAGGTTAATTGGTAGATATTGAGCGATATTTGAGTTATGTTCCGGAAATGAAATCCATCCCTTTCTGAGACTAAGTCCAAATTGTTTCCATGGAAACCGAGAAAAATACAAAAATGACAAAAATCTGTAAATAGTAAAAGGCACCACTTTAGGTTCTGTCTGATAAATATGTTACAGTCAATGTCTACAATCAGGCAATGTGTACAATGACTGAAATAACCAGTCAATGTGAACATTGCCTGATTCACTCACTCATTGCGCACATAGTCTAAAATTTCCAGGCATTGTGTACATTGCCTGATTACACTATGACTTCAGGTTTGTAAGATACTTCAATAAAAGCACACTTACAAAAATCATAAAATATCACTTATCTGTTTACATTTTGTTTAAAATTTATCTAATAACTCTATTTCCTTTAAAAACAATGTATTATGTGATAATTAACATTATATAAAAATCCTTAATTGTTTTGACATTGAAATATTTATCCTTCGTGATGGAAAGACCGCTACATTACACAAGCTGAGACACAATAAAACAATAATTCTGCAACTGAAGGAACATTACACTAAATTGAATATAGTGTATAGTGTATATAGTTGTATCAGAACCTCTCACAATTTCAAAAAACCACAATTTATATCTTAGAAGAAACATTTTATTTGTCATTTCTCCACGACGTACAGTCATGTTTCCTGCAAAACGAAGAAGCCCTCCCTAAATCTTCGGGAGTTACTATGCTCATATTTCACTACACCAACCCATCTTCCCGCGACAAGGGAACTAACTAACCACAAACGACCAGACCCATTTTCCACCCTTTCAGAACAATGTTGTAATTTCGTGTCATTTCGTTCCGTTCCGTCTATGTTATTGCCACCTCTCATATCAAGTGTGTTTGCTTGAAACGAAATGACAGCGCCTATTCAATACGATTTGGTGATGACTGTGGTTGAGCTTAGCATAGGTGTATAACTGGGACATTCCAGCAAGTTTGAGAGTCACCTTTACTGAAAACAAACTGACCAGTCAACCCTTCTCCATTTGTTTAGAGCACTAATCCTTTGCAAACTCGATTATGGCTCCATCGTCTATGGTGGAACCTTAAATGTTTTGATTCTTTCCACCATCAAGGCCTCAGGCTTTACCTCGGATCTTTCAGGACATCGCCTATTGACAGTTTGTACATGGAAGCAGATGAGCTGTCGCTTAAGCAACGTCGTGTAAATCATTACAATATGTCATCCTATAGATTTGTATTTCATGTTACACTGGTTATTGTCCCACTAGATAAGCAGTGGAAATAGAAAAAAATACACCATTTGCTAAGCTTTAACGTGCCTTAATTCATTTCAAGCGCATAAAATGAATGTTACAATGCTGCAATAAGCATAAAGAAGTTGTCTCCCTTGTATCATTCTCAGCGGTGTTTTGTAATGTTTGAGCCCCTGGCTAAACGTGTTCTATAAACACGTACAATACACCAGGATTTTGTATCAGTCTCAGCGGTGTTTTGTCGTGTTTGAGCCCCTGGCTAAACGTGTTCTATAAACACGTAACATACATCAGTATTTTGTATCAGTCTCAGCGGTGTTTTGTAATGTTTGAGCCCCTGGCTAAACGTGTTCTATAAACACGTACCATACACCAGGATTTTAACTAAGTTTATTTCATACTCTCATACTGACTGGTTTGATTAATATCAAAATTCCCGAAAATGTTTGTAATTAGTGGACTTTTTTTTGTACATTGACTTTGTACGAACAAAAAGGGAAATAAAAAAAATTACTGGAAAATGCCCGCAAGATCAGCAATTGTGGAAGCTTGACTTATACAGTCATTTAGTCCGCATGGTCATCCTTCATGTCTGGTGAGCAGTTTAAGGAATGGGGAAATAAAATGTCCATGAACAATTTTCTCAGTTGTGAGGAGTGGGTGATTTGCGCATTTAGAAATGTCATGGCAGGGAACACCAGAAATGGGCTTCCGAACTATACCAATGTGCAAAATGGTACCAGGGGCTTTGGCGTGACGAGTGAACGCTTTAACCACTAGGCTTCCATACCGAAAGAGAGTTACACCCTTCTTGAAAACAAACTTACGATGGACGAATACCGCTTTCGTGTTTTCCCGCAAAGACTACCTATAAATACGGCGGGATCAAATATATATTTATATATATGTCATTTGCCCAGTGCCATTTGTCAGTTGCTTAGAATTAGTCAAGGCAACCTGTGTGTGAGGCAACTAAGAGGATTTTGTTTCCAGGATCAGTAACAGTTGGTTACCTGCCTTCACATCACAGGCTTGTATGGTCCAAATTAGGTAATTTCCGCATGTAGTAAGGATGGTCGTCAACACCAGTGCTAAAAGTGTACCCTTGTTTATACAAAGCTACCCCGAATATTTATTTATGTTCTACCCAAGGTGACAAATAAGGTCAGGTTTGGTAGATACTTTAATAAACAGCACACTTACAAACATCATTATCAATGATGTTGACAGACACAAATGTCTGGCAGGTTTCTTGACCAAACAGGGAAATGTGGAACAGTTCAGTATCTTCCTGCAGCTGCAAATACAAGGACACTATTTGGTCGTGAATCATAAACGCATGGTACATTCTATCGTCCGAACCGTATAAAGAACTCTGTCTTCACAAGAGTTTATGAATATGAAAATGGTTTTGTCATTTTTGTTAGGAAGATTAGCATCAGGTCCTTACCGTATCGTCATTGATTGGAATTGAGAGATTCGCCTGTGTCACACCATCAGGAAACGTGAGTATTCCGTTTTTGCTCCCGAGTATGTCCTCGGCTTCTGTTGTTACGTCAATTATGGTGTAACTGGCTGTAATGGTTCCACTTGAACCTTCTTTTCGACGCAAGGGGACAATGAGTGGTCCCATGTCCTCATTCACATTGATACCAAAAATATCCATAAAACATATTTCACCAGCTGAAACGAAAACGTAGTACACTCAATTATATGTTTCAAGGATTTCTGTTTCACGTGGTTATATCATGTAGCCATTGGGTGCACCTAAAAATAACTATGTTTGAAACATGGTGTCGTCTCTATACACTGTAACTTGCTGGCTGTCAGTTGCCATTCGGCTTGTGTGCTGCAATGAGCATAAAGGAGTTGTCTCCCTTGTATCATTCTCAGTGGTGTTTTGTAGTGTTTGAGCCCCTGGCTAAACGTGCTCTATAAACACGTAACGTACACCAGGATTTTGTATCAGTCTAGCGGTGTTTTGTCGTGTTTGAGCACCTGACTAAACGTGCTCTATAAACACGTAACATACACCAGGATTTTGTATCAGTCTCAGCGGTGTTTTGTCGTGTTTGAGCACCTGGCTAGACGTGTTCTATAAACACGTAACGTACACCAGGATTTTAACTCACTCACTGAAAAACATTTACTTTTGGTCGTCGTTGTCTAAAAGAAATCTATATATATCACGTCAGTGTGATGTCTACAAGGCAGCCATATTGCCATACGGAATCGATACCTAAGTGCCACGTCAACAGCTTATACACCTTACATGTCTATACATCAAATGGCAAGACCGATTCATCTACATTACGGTTTCGGCAATGTACACTTCATTTCTGAACACGCAGGACCTATCTATGGTCTATATACATTAAAAAGAGCTGGTAAACTACAATGAACGTATCACCTAATTCTGGGGATAAATATGTTAATGTTGTCGAGTCCCTTGGTGGGATACAAACAGACTTAAGGTTATCCATTGCTTGAAAGGGGAATTTAACTGCAAACTTTATGCAAATGATATGCAAATGCGGTTAGAACTGAATAAACTTACGTTGAATTACTGCCTGCACGTTGGGGATAAGAAGAAACGCACAGGCTGACAAGACAGTTGCAATGGACATTTCTGAAATGTACAAAGACACGAAAATCAGGTACATTTGTTACATGTTACGAACGTTGTTCACCTAAAGGTCCCACGGGTACATATGTGGCGGACATCACGAGCAATGCTTTCATCCCAACACGATGGCAAGCATGCAACGAGTGCGTGAGTTTAGTTTTACGCCTCACTCAGCAATATTCCAGCTATATGGCGGCGGTCTGTAAATAATCGAGTCTGGACCACACAATCCAGTGAACAACAGCATGAGCATCGATCTGCGCAATTGGGATACGATGACATGTGTCAACCAAGTCAGCGAGCCTTACCACCCGATCCCGTTAGTCGCCTCAAACGACAAGCATGGGTTACTGAAAATCAGTTCTAACCCGGATCCTCACGGGTTCATACAACGAAGTCAGCATAATCCTTCTCTGCACAAGGCTAATTTATTGGGGTCACTTTACAATACACGTGCTCCTTTTCTCACTTGATATAGACAGGTTTGGATAAATTCAAAACCTAAAGGCTTCTCACTCCAGCATAGCGCTGAATGGATTTCTTTATAATCAAAATGTTCTATGATTACACAATGCCATTTAGAAAGTGGTCAAATGTACCACACGTCATATTTGGGATTACACTTTCTTAGTAAAGTACAGATTCTAGTACTTTTGTTTGGTTGAGTCCCATCTGGGATTCGAACCCACACACTCAGAGTCAGGCACCTAATCGCCAGCACACACAAAGTCAGCAGCCTAACCCGCTCTGTTACTAGAATCTGTACTTTACTGAGAAAGTGTAATCCCAAATATAACGTACGTTACAAAATGCTAGTACCACTGCCACCGAAAACGTATGATCTCTGAGTGAACGAGTGAGTGGGTTGTTATTTATCAACACATCGTCAATATTTCAGTCATATCTTGACGAGATCAATTAATTATTGTATTAAAGAACTATAAAATTAGAAATTAAAAGCCTGTTGACGAAGAACAGTAAAACTACCAGTGTATGACAGATATAAAAGTAAAAGTAAAATGTTATTATAAAACGATATTTCTAAAGAGAACAATGCAATATAAAAACAGGCTATAGACTGCCAACAACTGAAGGTAGATCACCATACTAGGGACCATGGGGACCTACAATAAAGGACAAGGTATGATAAGGGTGGTTTTTGGCCCACAAACAGAATTGGCTGAACACATGTTATTTGTTTAGAGACAAGATTGCTTTGCATAAAAATGCTATTTTTTAGATGATCCGAGGCGTAATTTCAATGCAGAGGGGCCCAAAATGGGTTTTATCAGTTCCCATGAAGAATAACAAGAAGTCTGAAATATCAGTGTGCCATAATGACTTAGTTACAACTACCATTTTATTTACATACAAATAACATCAGTTTTACAACAGGTATTCATGATGAAAAACATGTCAACATCAATCACAAGGTTTTAACTTAAAGGGGCCCAATTAGGGTTGCAATACATTGTGGACAGTAATTCAATTACATGCCAGTTGTTTACCAAAACACTCATTATTCACAACTTTCTTTGCAAATATAAACTATAGGTCAATTTTACAACATGTACTAATGATAACCAATCACGTCGCACTAAAATCACAGGGGCCCGTTTTGGGTCTAATTACATTTTGGGCATAGCTTGATTTTAACAAAGTGTTAAAAGTCAGTATTTACAACTAGTTTTAGCAAATATACAGTAAACATCTCATTCACAACATGTTATTACAATTACCAGTCATGTTGCAATAAAAATCAATAGTCTTGACCTCAAAAGGGCCCATTCGAGGTGAAATTTCATTCTTGGCACAGCTTGATTTTTACACTAAGTAAGTGTCAAAAGTCAGTATTTACAACTATTCTTGCAAATATACAGTAAACATGTCATTCAGAACATGTTGCTACAATAACCAGTCATGTTGCACTAAAAATAACAAGTCTTGACCTCAAAGTGCCTATTTCAGGTGAAATTACATTCTTGGCACAGCTTGATTTTAACACCAAGTAAGTGTCAAAAGTCAGTATTTACAACTATTCTTGCAAATGTACAGTACACATCTCATTTACAACATGTTGCTACAATAACCAGTCATGCTGCACTAAAAATAACAAGTTTTGACCTCAAAGGGGCCTATTTGGGGTGAAATTACATTCTTGGCACAGCTTGATTTTAACACCAAGTAAGTGTCAAAAGTCAGTATTTACAACTAGTTTTAGCATACAGTAAACATCTCATTCACAACATGTCGTTACAATAACCAGTCATGTTGCACTAAAAATAACAAGTCTTGACCTCAAAGTGCCTATTTCATGTGAAATTACATTCTTGGCACAGCTTGATTTTAACACCAAGTAAGTGTTAAAAGTCCGTATTCAAACATCTTAACAAAGCAATTATTTACAACTCATTCACTGCTAAGATATTAAACATACACTTTTACTCTTCACCCACAAAGTCCTCAATCTCAGTTTCTGAATCACTGTCAAGAACTGCAGCATTCAAGAGCGTATCACTAGTGTTGCTGGAAACTGGCATCTTGTCTTGGTGTCTGCCATACCCAAGGTACCAAATGACACTTGCTATGTGTGCACAGCATCCAACAACTCTAGCACCCACTTTGCAAGTGCAGTACCATCCTGTCACCTTAACCTCAGTGAACTGAACCCACAAAGTGTGCAAGAGTGAGCCGACATGCCGAGACTGGATTTTCACTCGGATTAAATCATCCACTTCCTTACACAGGAAAAGCTGATAGGCATTGTCACTATCGACATGATTTGCAACATATGCTGGTGCCAACTTTAGTTGATAAACACCCATTGTTATATCCCTAAGTTCATCCAGTGAAAGCACTGGAAAGCTTACATCATCAGCTTCAGTTATTGGAATGTATACATTCCTCCTTCTAAGAAGGTTTTCTTTCAACCAGTTCTTTGACTGGGTTGCCCTGCCGACTCCTCTCTAGCATCAACGATGCAATTCTCTCACCTTCTGGATCATGAGATGCCAGTGCTGGCCGGTACTTGTTGCATAGCGCACACACAATACGCACAAAATCCCCGATATGGGGTACATAATGATTTGAAACAACTTTATCCAAAAATCGCCACTGCTTAATTCTTCCGTTGCACGATTCAACAACCCACCGCACTTTAGTAATTAGTCTTGATACATTAGCATCTTCTACTTCATGTTGTCTTTTCCCCTTTTCCAGGTAAGCTGGCATTTCTACATGAAAACCATGTTTTTCAAGAAAGGTTATTGAGTCTCTAAAGCCTCTATCCACAATGAAAACATCATCTGCTTCCAACCAATTGTTAATATCATCAGAATTTGTTGAAAGCATATGTTTAGTTATGGATGCATCATTATTCTTCCCATCAGCTGCATATGGACCAAGCACACTAAGAATATATCCATCGGTGCCAACTACCATCATGGGTTTAACTAAAGGTCTATGCTTATGCATGCTGTAGGATAGCTTCTGAAATTGGTGGTCAGCCCCTTTCTGAATGTAGATATATGTCCCATCCAAAACAAGAATAGCAACATTGACTTTGTCATTGGTGAAAATTTTTTTGGCAACTGGAGTGGTATGATTTTGCACAAACTCATCATGTTGAATATGCCCAAATCCTAAATTATTGGGTACAAAATGTAACATGAGACATTCCCTTGCACAATGAATTGCTCGCTGTACCTGTGACTTTGTAAGTTTAAACAAGGTACCAAGAAGGTTGTTCGACAGTCCAGTCCTGAGTTTTACAAGAATCAGTGCAACACATGTTCTGACTGATCTAACACTTGAGCCACGCAAAGACTGTGTATGTGACACAACATCATCAAATTGATCTCTTGTGATGCCTGTAAGTTTAAAATATTCATCATCACTAAGAAATGCAGGGTCATCAAAATTCAAAGTCCCATATCTGATGAGGGTACTTCTGGCAGTAGCAAGGAGGTTAATAATTTCTGTTCTGTTGAAACATGTTAAATCTTTCTTTCCTTCAATCTGAATGAGTGCTTCCCTGGTAAAAAGTCTACATGATAAATGCTTTACACAACATCGATTTCCAGCAGGAATAATGACACCTTGAAAGATAAAAACTTGATTTCTTGCATCATTCGGAATGACAATAAATGGATTTCGTGATGAACTCACTTTCTTACAAACAGTACAAACTCGATGAGTTGATGAAGTTGATGTTATATTTAGTTCAATATTTTTAGGACTCGTATATATGAATGACTGATCAGAGTTTTCCGGTTCTGTTGATTTTATCTTCCTTCTGACATGTGTTCTACATTTTTCACATATAATACAATCTTTAGTAATTGTCTGTTTTAGTTCTTTCTCTAAATGCTGTCTGAAAGTGTCATCTGTTAATTTTCTTCTCAAATGTGGCTTGATATTAGACTTTTTACACCACACACATTGTGAAAATTTCATCTTCAATCTGAAACACAAAACAAAACTGAAATGTTATTTGGACTTAAGTTAGTAACACAAGGTTTGTGTCGGAAGAGCAGAATCACAAAATCATTGGACATTTTGGTATTTATTATATCAGCAGCATATAATGTTGATGATATGCCATTATGGATGTTGTACAGTGTGTTTAAAAACTTAAACGCTATCAGGAAATTGTGTTTACTCAGTTTAGTCAATCATTTTCTTCAATTATAATCTGCCCAGGTTGAATTCCTTTGTCAAAGTAAATGAGTTTTAACTATATTGGTATTTTAAGTCTGTGGGTGATTAATCTTTGTAGAAATATACATGAATTACCCAGATCTGAATGTTATTTAAATAGATTTGTAACATTTACAAGGTGTATGAAGTTTACCTTCAGCATGCTGTTAAAGTACTTTTTTATGATCTTCACAAAACCTCAATATCACTCTTGGGCAGTCTTGGCTCAGACTCAGATCTTCTCTCAACTGAAATACAGATGACTTCATATCAATAGAAAATTCTGTTTAAAAAGCTGTGATAATCTATTCAAGGGTAACATTACTTTTTCAAATGTCATTAGTCTAGCTTTGAAGGTTTATGCAGATTTAATCACCCCTGAGGCATCAGGTTTTCTGATTTTCTGCCACATTAAATTAGAAAATTAAATTAAAAAATATTTAGAAACATATCTTTTAACTCATATTATGCTTACCTTCAACCTCAAGTTTTAAGTTGTCATCTTCATGAATTGACACTCCTGAAATCAATTCATGACTATTTCTCTTATCTGAAACCAAATATTTGAAATTATAGAAGGATTATCATAATGTTCAAGAAATTGGTGCTTCCTAATTTTTCTAATGCTAAATATGTCAATAGTATAGTTATATATGGAAGGGAATTGACCTCCAACAGCATAATCAATTATGGAGGCCACCTTTTGATCAATTATAGATATAAGATAAAAACAACTGTCAGAGCACATGAAAACACAGGTAATCAATCCTCAGTTTCAATATGACAATTGAAACCAATAGTCAATGATTCTGTAATCGTATTTTTAAGAAGAAATAGTGAACGCTTTAATTGGTTATGTGTTTTGGATATCGGTAATTGACTGGCAGCCCACAAAATATCCATAAACCAATTATTTGATTGATCAGTACACCACTGATTAACAGCTATGGGCAATTTGTAAATATTTACTTAAAGAAGGTACCACAATAACATTTTGAAACAATGCTTACCTTCTCCATGTTCTTTATGGTGTGGGAACAAAGGCAACAAGACAGTGTTGAAAGGCCAGTGTCTTCAGGCTTAAAAAAGATTTACATGATGTTAATTAAAGTTTGTTTGAACAGTGTAACATAGATTACCAAACTTAATGAAAAAAAATATAATATTTGGATTTGATGTGAACAAGTTAAGCTAAACATTGTAAATTGGATGACCAAACTTTGTATAAAAAAAAAATAAAAAAAAAAAATACAGGAATCGAACCTGCATGTCTAATAAATAGAGAAAAACGACAGGCCAGCACAGTAACCACTAGGCTACATATTCTTCAGGTCCTTGTGGTGAATTTAAGGTTATATGTTACACCGTACAACAATGTGTCACTTGACGTCTGCTTGTGTTCATCATCTCCTGCACCTTGATACAATGTTCTTATTCTAAGAAGAAACTTTTCATACAGTTAAGTATAGTCATTTTGGTTAAATGTAATATAATATATCATAGAAAACATCAAGGTACATTGTTTCTAGGAAAATGTGTATGTTTATACATGGCAATATCCTGTTGAATGACAGTGTTATTTTGACAGTGACAGGTGACTCAGAGGTGTTTGATAAACAGATGCTATAACAACTATGATAAAATTCTAACATAATTACAAAGATTCTCACCTTTAGATGGCTGCCAGATCCTATTTTGAAAACTCTTCTGATGTCTTCTTATTTTTCCAGCAATGGGGCTCCAAAAATCTACCCGTGTTTACATCAAAGTCATCAGCCTTGCGAGTCCCTTATGATATTGAACATTTTAATAAAGATGTTTGATAAGTTCATTTTAGAGCCCAAAAACATTCAAAATAATAATGAATCATGATATAGTTGTGTAAATGTGACAGATAGTTTTTAAAGATAATACTTTACGTCAATGTTTATTTTTGAGATGTTGTATGGGGCAATTTCATATAACAGAAAAAATGTACATTTTTTAAAATTTTGATATGAGCAAAAGCGTGACCCACCACAATTTTTTAGGTGTGCATTCTAATTTACTCTCTTCATGTGTGGTGAAAAAATTGGGATGGGTCATGCTTTTGCTCATACTTTTTTATCACTCTGAAAATCAGAAAATGTAGGTTTTTAGAAGATATTGTAAAATAGGTTAACTTTGAGGTCTTCAAAGAGGAAAAATGACAGCACTAAAAACATAAAAAAAGCAATTGGAGGTAACTTCAACAATTAATTTAGCCTTTTTGATGCTAAAATTATCATGTTGTAGAACTTTGAATATCATGAAATTTTGTGGGCCAATAAGGGCCCTTATCATACCTTGTCCTTTGCTTCCCGCATGGACCTTAGATGGATGCACACCCTCTTTTCAGCTCTTAGCAATTTTAGAAAATCGAGCCATAAATTAAAAGAACATATATACTACGATTAAAAATAAAAGTAGGTTTTAATTTACCTTGAATGCTTTGGGAAATTGGGTTGGATTTACACCATCCCTTCAGCTGCTGGCGATTGTAAGAAATGTTAGCCAAAATTAAAATAACAAGAATACTACGTTTAAAATTCCTGGTAAGTTTAAATTGACTTTGAGAAATTGGGACTTACGTACCCTCTCAGGAGGACAATAATTTTACAATACTTCAACCCCCTTTGAGGGTACAGCCACTAACAATCTCAGTTACTAATCTAAACTACCAAAATAGAATATTTATCTATTTACAAACCATACAAGACAAATGTTATGGATAACAACTTCTTGATTTATTTATCACAACGTTTCTAGGCTAGTTCCTGCTCCTGAATTAGCCAAAATTAAAATAACAAGAATACTACGTTTAAAATTCCTGGTAAGTTTAAATTGACTTTGAAAATTTTGGGACTTACGTACCCTCTCAGGAGGACAATAATTTTACAATACTTCAACCCCCTTTGAGGGTACAGCCACTAACAATCTCAGTTACTAATCTAAACTACCAAAATAGAACATTTATCTATTTACAAACCATACAAGACAAATGTTATGGATAACAACTTCTTGATTTATTTATCACAACGTTTCTAGGCGAGTTCCTGCTCCTTTTTCAGGTGGATAATGGTCATAGTGAACAGTACAGTATATATATATATATATATATAGAGAGAGAGAGAGAGAGAGAGAGAGAGAGAGAGAGAGAGAGAGAGAGAGAGAGAGAGAGAGAGAGAGAGAGAGAGAGAGAGAGAGAGAGAGAGAGAGAGAGAGAGAGAGAGAGAGAGATAATGTACAGGAAGCCAGATATGTAAGTAGAGTATATAAAAGCGCAAGGGAAAAAGGAGATATATTTAAGTATGTACAAACGATGCAGTGAGATCAAAGAGCAGAATACAGTGATAGGGTATATTTTTACAATAAGGGCAAGGGTGAGTTTACATAGCAGAGTGGTTAAAGAAGTTTGAGTTTGAGAGTCTATGATTTCTGGGTGAAGAACCAGGCGCTGGGGAGGTAAAGTGCCAGTCTTGATAACTAAAAGCTGTTTTATCAGTTTTATCTGAGAGTAGTGTGAATGAGGTATACATGTTTAAAGAAATTATGATGTGACCGTTTTTTAGTGTGATAATGTCAATTCCATTTCGTTGATTCAGTGTTGAATATGTGTTTCATTCTTTGTTTGCGTCTTCCTGTATTTTCTCGAAAACGATGTTTTAATGCTATTTCACAACCACTTACATCTATTGATCGGTGAAGTGTACATCATTACATCTGTTTGATAACATGCCAATACATATAAGACAACAATAATATTAATTGTTTTGCATAAGGCCTAAACAATGAACAATGTTTTGACAATTTTAAGTATCAATCTACATTTGACACATTTTATCCTAAAAAAACTTTCACATTATCTATAAGTATTTTAACATTGATGTTGAGTAGTGTTTATGTTTACCACGAGACTATATTCCCTAAATTTTCTGTGTGGAATCGGATCTTTCCATCTACGTCTCTTTCTTGCTGTTGTCAACATTATTTTGTCTATCGAAGGTTTGATATTTGTATGGAAGAATCTGTGTACGTTCATTGAACGAGCCGGGTTTCTTTAACACATTACCAAAGAGGTAATGCCATTGCGAACGCTTGTGATGCACGAAATGCTACACAGAGTGTAGCTCAATCTCTAGTCTATGTAATGACAGCTCTGCTCATTAAGTCAAGGCTAATTGTGTTACTAATGTGCCTTCAAAATATTTTCCTTCCAGATACTTGTTTAGATATACTGTATAAATGATGAAAAACTGAATGTTCTTGTTACAGTACATCTCCTTCAAGTTTTAATCAAAACACTGGCGCGAGGGCAATTGTATGGAACCTGAGGAACCAACATTCCCCTTGCTTGTGCAAATGAGAATTAAAAAGAAAAATTGCTCAAATTCATTCTGAAGCACTAAACTAAGTGTGATAAGACTTAATATGTGAATGTACAAAAAGTCAAACATTTTTCAGCGATTCTAGGAATTATCCCTCAGGGGATGCAAGAACCGGAATTCACGACTTCTGACATGTGGGGAATCAAACGTATCATACAGGCTTTCCCACTTTTGATTTTAAGGTCAGCGATGATTAACAGAAATACCATTAAAAGCAGTGCAGTGCGCAATTCACACACTCAGCTATGAATGTCAAGTCAAAATGCAAATGTTTATATGCTCTGAAGAATCTCCTCGCAATCTTACGCTTGTACCATGACTTTGCGGCAGTCTCTTTGATATTGCCCATGTTGTAACCCGCTAGTTACTACATGGTTTCGCCCTACTGATTCTCACTGGATAATGCTTGCTCCGCCCCCTTTCCTGTGACGAAACTATGACGTCATCGTAAACAGGTTTCGCCAGAAGGAAGTTGAGATACATTGTAGAACATGAAAACAAGTACAATGTTGACAAATTTATTTAGGAAAAAATTAACATCATTTTAAAACATTTGTATTAAACGCCAAAACGAGCAAAGAAATTAAAATCTTGAATTGAAATTTAAAGAAACAGTTCCGATACACAAGTTCGTCTGATTGTTTTCAATGTGGAATTAAAAGTTAAAGATGCAGTTTTGATACACAATAGATGGTTTGGACGCCGCCGTCTCCGTGACTTGCGACGCCGCGTTTACAGTTGCAGAGGGCTCCGTTTTCATTCGTTTAGGTGCAAGAGGTGGATCCAGTTTGTTTTCGATGGCTGACAACATAGACTGTGACGGTCGCTTGTATTTTCTCACTGCCTCAGCGCTTCTGTGCCCGGTTATTCGCATTATTTCCTGCTCTTCTACTGCCTCTTCTTACAAACGTGTAGCATACGTGCGCTTCCTGGAGCTGTTTGTGAGGTAGCCAGGAATACCAGCGGAAGTGCACATATTCTTCACTAAAGTGCTCAGTTTGTTGACACCAATCACCTGACTGGAAAATCGAATGTTCTTATTTCCTTTAGCCGAAAGGGGTCTCCTGTAAAACGGCCCACTGTTGTCAATCTTGAATAGATAAATGTAGTTCATACAGGCGTGGTAAGTCTGCAGTGGAGTGGTGACGCAATACTTTTGCCTCGACTGCCCGGTGTGCCAAACCTCCAGTGTAATTTTTGGCTGTAGTTCCACGAAATTCGATATATGGTCCCATCTGATCAGTCCCGACCAAACTTTGATTAGCTTGTAGGCTTCTATGTTCATCACAGGCTCGAACTCCGAAAAGTTTAGTTGTACAAGAACACTGTGTTCAGGAGACTTTGGCAGGTATTCCCCAAGCAATTCTTTATCCCATAAAGTTTTCTCGGTTTCTTCGCTGATGGGTTCAGCTTGTTTAACAGTCGTGCTGATACCTTTTGCTATTTATCTTCGCATCTCGTCACTCAGAACTTGTCGGAAACGCTGACACGCTAGATTTTTCGTATCCAAAAGGTTAACGCCGATGTTTCGCATTTTCCCGCATGCAACGTATCAAACCGGCACGTAAAAGATAGAGGGTTTTGGGTGGATATTCTGAACCATCTACCTTTCGCGCTTCCAACACAAACCTGGACAGATAGTTGTTTACATCGGCGGATGTAAAGTCTTTGATCTCTGGCACACAAATATCTTGTCGGGATCCTCGCCATTGGTCGAAAACACGCATCGCCCACTTCGTGTTATTTTGAGTGTTCTTACTTTCAGCATCAGCTATGCGTTGCAAAATATCGTCTTCTGATACGATTTTCGCAAATCGTTCAGTTTGAGCGGGTGGATCAACAGGATTAGTAATGTCATCAGGCCTATTTTCTTCAGAAAACGGGTCGAACTGAAGATCAAATAATCCAACATCCAGGTCAATTTGGTCGCTTCCACTC